AATGTCTCCTTAGGGTTAGCGCCACAATATATCACTTTTATCCAAGGCAACGACATGACAGGTTAAAATGTAGCAAACAATCTGATCCCCCCTACTTTCATTTTTCTTTTAAAATCGACTCTAGAGACGTATAGGCATTGTTCCTCAGCGTTCTATTTGTTTGCCCATCGATCTTCATTTTTTTATAATTAATAAGTCATCAATATTGTCTGCTTCAGATTTTGCATCCTCTCTTTGAGAGATCGTGGAGAATATAATCAAAAAAATGTTAAAAAATAATTATACTTTAGTAAATATGCACGGACAAAATGCTTAAAGCAATAAGTAAGCGATCAAAGACCAAACTGTAATTAAGCTCAATTCGAAACAAAATTTTAGCTAAGAAAAATAAAAACGAATACACTCGAAGAGAAATGAAGTAAGCCAAAGTCAAAAAAATCAAAAGACTGGTCATAAATCGTAATTTCGACATCCAGATAGACTAAATGAAGCAAGGAAGGGATTAAGCTATCACGGCTTATTTTCCAGCTAAATTAAACAAAATAGACTAGCAGATAGGGCAAAAAAAAATAATTAAGAAAACAAAGGAGGTTGTTTGACCTTGTTCTTGTAACATGTTCATAATGGTAGGAAGACTTAGAGAAACGCACCTAGTCCGGAGTCCATTATCTGCATGATCATTTCCAAAGTTGAACCGTGGACGTGGTACATTCCCAAACGTTTCGCCGACATCGTAGTTGGCATTGTCAGTGAGTATCGCCACCCTTAGCACCATGCAACAACTCGTCAAAGAGACAAATGAAGCTGATCCTTTGACCAAACGTTTGCTAAACAATTGTGGTATCCCCCATTCTGCCCTGGGTAATTCGCGTTTCCGGTATCATCCTATCATGCCTTCAGCATTCCATTTTTTACCGTGTTTATTAGCATAGTGGTGTGCTCCTTTGAGCGTCATGAAACCTTCACACTCCAACTGTCGTACTCACCACCACCCCCTTGCTCCTTGAGCAGGAAATGTTTATCAGAGTCTGCTTTATTATTATGCAGTCCTCTTTCCTAGTCTTATCCAAGTCTCTCTCTTGCTCCGTAAAATCTGTCTGTTCTACCGCTTGTTCACCTATTTCACTCGACTTTTGCCACCACGTGTCCTACTCGAGGCGTTATTCACCCTCCCCTGCGTCTGAGTGACTAATTCGAGGCGCAAGCCCGTGTCATGGTCACCTCTTTGCTACATGTACCACGTCTCTGGTACAACAGACCTACCGTCAGCCAACTAGCTCAGTCCCCGCCGGTTTACTTTATTTATGCGCCGCTTTGGAAAGTGACAAGCTCAGAGGTGACAGGAAAAGCGGAATGCTCAATTGGCATCCAGAAGAGGACAGTTCAATTCTCTCTCCAATTCCCAGGTGCAATATCCTATGCACAATCAATTAAAAGGACAGTATGCAAACCAATAACAAATCCTTGTCTCATAACTTTCCTCTAATTTCTGGATGAAGGCGTGATACAATATTTCATTAACTGTGTCCGAATGACACTTCTTCACTAGATTGCAGAATCGGGGAGCGATACCATGTTTGCAACAATTCAAAAAGGCTAAATGGCAGGATTGACTTGTAATAGTCTTCTTTGTCCGGCTGTAACCAGTGCACTGTTTGGCAATATTACTTTCATATTTTAATCGAACGTATGAGGACCAAGATGGTGTGGCCTTTTGTGTGGGCGGCGAAACGTTTGAGAATGTACCACGTCCACGGTTCAACTTTGGAAATGATTATGCAGACAATGGACTCCGGACTAGATGCGTTGCTTTAAGTCTTCCTACCAATATGACCATGTGAAAACAGGATCAAACAACCTCTATACAAAGAAAGGAGACTGCGACCACACAAAAAGCCACACCATCTTGTTCTTCCTACCTTTGATTAAAACAAAGAAGGTTTAAATAAATAAAGCTTCAATAGGCAAGAAAAATGGAATGCGAAGCGCAGTATGAATGTAATAAATAGGAAGCTGGGGAACTTACGGCCGAGGCAATCCACCCGAAATATTTCCATTGGCATTCGAAGATGTAAGTTTTCTTTCCTGACGCTCCTGCTTAACGTCTCGCTGACGTTGAAGCACCTCCCTGAGACGACTCTCAGCTGCATTTGCTGCTTCTGCCCGACGGCGCAGAACGTTCGTTTGCTTCTCGTAAACAGCAGCCATTCGCGCCAACTCGGACTGCATCTGGATATCATGTTTCTGCAATCTGCGCACCTGAAAGAGCAAAAATGGAAATCCAACGATGGTAAAGGCAAGAAGTAATTATGTATGAGGTAGATCTCCGTAGCTTAACCGTAACCGAATTTGAGCTGAACGATTTGGGCGGAATTGAGTGTCTCAGCTGATGGAACTATGCTATTGAATTACAATGAATCACTCATTTATAAAAATGCACATTGGGAATGCTGGCAATTTAGGAAAAAAAGATTCCTAACATTTTTTAAAACAAGCTTCAAGTTCTGTCAACATATCAGAGCCCAGAGGGTCAGCGAGACAAGGGAAGATCAATCTTCCACTTTTAATAATATCGAGGTAGAACCAAAATAATTTCATCAAAATACAATTAGCAGTTCTAGCATTTGTATCAAACTGATAATGCGTCCTCCAAAATTGTGGACAAACTGGCCGATTGAGCATTACCACGTAGTTAAATGTTTAAATCCATCTTAGTACAGTTGTGCGGCTTTAACATTAGTTAGGGTTAGTACTTTAGTTTATTTTACCCATGTATTCAAACTGTATGAAGTTGCAAGGTTATAAAATATTAATGTAAAATCAAACGAACTTTTGACGATTAAAAGCGGCATTTTAGCTTCATATACATTCATTCCAGGGTGTGTAGAAGGAGCACGTTCATATTTCGTCTCCATTGGGCATTCGAATTTCTTTTTTATGAGCGAGTACAAACAAATAGTCACACTACAGATATTGTTTGAGAAAAGCTCACCTGGTTTCATGATTTGCTCATTTCCTAAGCGCCTGCTATTGGATATAGCAGGCCTGCGAGTTGATTGTTCGCAATATCAAATTTTATTCAAAGCAGTATTCACACTAATTCATTTAGGATGTTGTATCAGTCTTTGGCTTCACCTAACATACTCATTAAA